CCCTCAGCCTTTGGGTGTGGGATGCTCCTTCCCGGGTGATTCCCCTGGGATCCCCATCCGGGGTCTCTGGGGGTCCCTGGGGATGATTCCCCTGCCTGGAGCCCAGGGGGATGGATGGATGGATGCCAAACAAGGGACCCATTCCCTCCATCTGCTCCGAGCTAATGGAGCAGCCAGGGTTTGTGGAGAGGAGCTGGGATTGTCTGATGGAGCCTGTGGGAATCGGAGAGCTTTTCCAAGTGATTCTGATTTATCTCAGCCTTTGAGGGTGAGGATTTCACTGCAGCTCCTTTGTGTTCCTGCGGAAGGGATGTCAGCTCCTGGCATTGAAATTTTTTTTGGGAAGTTGTTCCTTCTCCCCTTCCCCATGCCCAGACAAGGGTCAGTCCAAGCTGTTCAACTCCCCTGCTTTTCCTGGCACAGCAATAATCCAGAATTCCAGCTGCAGGGAATAAGGGGTGTTGTGGGGCTTGGAGAGCAATTTGGAGCAGCTTTTTTGCTGCTCTGCTGCTCCCTCCAGGTGTTACCTGTGCTTGGAGTTGGAATTACACAACAGAAGAACATTTGAGGCTTTTCTGCCTTCCCCATATTCATCAACACCAAATAATGTCCACGATCAGCCAGCGAGCAGCAGTTAATTAGGGATTTTAATAAGGCTGTGGTGCATCCGTGCTTGGCACTGCCTCTCCTCCCCTTCTCCCACACCTGAGAGATGGGAGCTGTCAAATCTCAGCAGGGGAACCAGCTCAGCCCTTGGAAGTTCAGCTGGAGGAAGAATTCCTGGATCCCTAAGCTTGGAGATCTCTCCTGAGCCTCGCTGGAAGGCTTGGATGGGGAAGTGGGTGGGGGAAAGGTGGAGGAGCTGGGAAGGGTTTTCCTTCCAGCATCTCCAGCCGAGGGAAGCTCCAGATTGTCCTCAGTGAGTTTCTTCCAGCCTGGAGTGAGGAGATGTTGGGCTGCTGCCTGGAGAAGGAGCCTGTGCCAGAGGGGACCAGCCCCTCCTGCCCCCCAGGCTGTCTGCAAGGGTTCTGGAGCTAAACTGGGACTAAAACTGGTCCTAAACCCCTTCAGGGGGCTGTCTGCAGGGGTTCTGGAGCTAAACTGGGACTAAAACTGGTCCTAAACCCCTTCAGGGGCTGCGTGGGCTCCAAGGCTGTGCCAGGGGGAGTTTGGGCAGCCCCAGAGCCCGGAGCACTCTGAGCTCCAGGACTTAGGACAGATTAAAGCCATGCCTAAGTGGGAGGAGGAGAAAGGCTCTGGAGAACTGGAGAGCTCCACGTGGATTTGGGAGCTGAGGGAGTGCAGGAGCAGGGTTTGGAGCCCAGAGTCAACAGAGCCTGGTTCTGTTTGTGCACCAGAGCTGAGCTCACGGCTAATGCAAACAGTTTTCATTAAGGAATAATCAAAAATAAAAAGCCATTTCACATGCTGATAAGGAGCCAGTCGTTTTTTTCACTTCAGCAGCAGTTTAAGCCACGCTCAAAGCCATTTATCTTTTCTCCAGTGCTGGCTGCAGAGGATATGAAAAATGCAGCAGGCTGCACATATGTAATTAAACTTTTGGCAGAATCTTTGCCCCGCAGCTTTACTAAGAAATTCAATAATGATAAATCGAGTGGAATATCTAAAGGACTTTTTGTGAACAAGATTTAAAATAATGTCTGTGGCACGGAGAGTTATTTGCCACCTAATTGTCTTGGCACGGCTGTGGGAGCAGCCTGTCTGTGGTGTCAGCTCTTCTTTACAGCCCAGCCCTTGTTCTGCTCTTATCTCCTCTCCAATTTGCCATTGAGGCTTTGCTGACTGCCAGCCAAGCCCGTGCTTATCCCTAATGACTGTTTTGTTCCCGCAGCCCCGCGTTTCCAGCTGGGAATGCTCCTGCCTGTCCCGGTCCCTCCCGAGCTGGCAGTGGTGGCATCGCTGCTCTGTAATTATCCTTTCCTTTTTATCCTCTGTTCCAGCAGCACTTGGAAGTCGAGCTCATCCCCTGAGCCGGCTCTGTGTGTGACACTGCTCTGAAAACGATGCCGGGATTGTCTCCCTGCTTTTGGTGCTGCTGCCTTTATCCCTGGCTAATCCAGGGATCGTTTACAGGAGAGGTGATTTTGTGTTCAACCCCCCCAAGCCCCTCCTCAGCCCTTCCCCTGGAAAAGCTGCACCAGTTCTTCTCCATTCCCACAGGTTTTCCCTGTTTCCTCACCCCCGTGGCATCCCCCCATCCTTTGTCACCACTGGACTTGGAGGGGCTTCAGATCTCTTTGGAAAAGGCAATTTTTTATTATTTTTCCCCCAACAGAACCAAGCAGACTAATGAAAAGTAATATGTAAAATATAAAACAGTCATTAATGAGGTGTCTGATAGAAGTGAGCTGGGACTGAGCACCTGAGGAGGTGGCAGTGAAGTGACAGAGCTGGGCTGGGCTTTCGCTTTCCTTGGTTGGCTTCAAACTGAAAGGGAGGAGGATTAGATGGGATATTGGGATGGAATTCCTGCCTGGGAGGGTGGGGAGGCCCTGGAAAAGAATTCCCAGAGCAGCTGTGGCTGCCCCTGGATCCCTGGAAGTGCCCAAGGCCAGGCTGGAGCAGCCTGGGACAGTGGGAGGTGTCCCTGCGGCACTGGAAGGGCTTTGAGGTCCCTTCCCACCCAAACCATTCCATAATTATGGGCACTGCTCCACTGGGCACTTCCATCTCTGCTTAAACCTCTGGGATTTAATGCTTTTATTAATTTATTTTTAAATTAATTTAATTAATGTGCAAGGAGAGTTTTTCTGCTGAAGGCACCGTGTCCTTTTGGAATGAAAGGAGCAGCAGGTGACTGTGGGTAGTGGGAATGCCAGGAGGAAAGAAGGAGAGGAATTATGGAGAGCGAGAACTGAGCTGCTCATCCTGTCCCCATGGCAGGGGTGACACTGGGTGAGCTTTGAGGTCCCTTCCCCCCAAACCATTCCGTGATTCTGTGGAAATCTGCCCTGGCTGCTGCGGTGTTTTATGGAACACTTGGATCTCTGTGGGGTTTTGTCACTTGTAGGTAATTCTTGTCTGCCCTTTGTCCCCTCCCTGGTGCCCCAGGGGGGTTCCTGCCCCTCTGCTGTCCCTGGCAGCTGCAGCCCCACAGGGCTTTGGTGACCCCACAGCGTGTTCTGTGGGTCAGCCTGGGCAGGGCAGCTCAGGATGGGGCTGTTTGTGAGGACAGGGGACGCGTGCCAAGCAATTAAATGAAGCCAGAGCCGTGCCAGGAGCGGGGAATTCCATCCCGAGGTGGCACAGCCTTGGCTGCCCCTCTGCCAGGGCTCCCCGTGCCAGCATTCCCACAGTGCCTTGGCCAGGCTGCTCCCTGGGATCTGTTTGTCCTTGTCATGCTTCAAACAAAATATTTATCCTTGTCCCCGTGGGCTGGAGCAGAGCTGAGGCTCTGCCACCAAATGTCACAGCCAGCTCCGAGTGGCCAGTGACAAGGACAATATTTGCCTGGGCAGCATCTTGCTGTGTTTGCAGAGTGATGGTGACAGTGGCTCTGTGCTGGGGCCAGCCAGGGGTGCTGCTGGCACCTGTGACACCAGGGAATGCAGCTGCTGCTGCCCAGGGGGACGTGTGGCTCTCACCTGCTTTGTGGCACCAAAAATCCAGGGGATGTGGCCTCAGCTGTGCCCAGGGAGGCTCAGGCTGGAATTTCCTCCTGGGAAAGGTGGGCAGGTGATGGAAGGGGCTGCTCAGGGAGGTGTCACCACCCTGGAAGTGGCCGAGGAACGACTCAGTGCTCTGGGGACAAGGGGGGGATTGAGCACGGGTTGGGCTCGATGATCCTGGAGGGCTTTTCCAAGCTGGATGGTTCTGTGAGAATTCCAGGCTGGATGGGTCTGTGAGAATTCCAAGCTGGATGGTTCTGTGAGAATTCCAAACTGGATGGTTCTGTGACAACACCTTCAGTTCTTGCTTGTGCTCCCTGTGTGGCTGTTTTGGGAAGCTGCAGGTGTCTGGTTTTGCGTCACAGCTGGCATGATGAGCAGTGCTGGTGACACCTCTGCTTTCCCAAGGTGACATCCCTGGATTTGCAGCAGCCCCGTGGTGCTCAGGTCCTTCATTGGCTCTGGAATCACACACTGGGATGTGTGATGTGCCAGGGCAGCACTGGCATCCCATCAGAGTCATTTCAGACAGCTCCCTGCACTGCCCAGACAAAAAACCTTGGAGCTGGGGGCTCAAGGAGCAGGAGGGAGAATTTGATAATTCCAGAGGGATTTCTGAGTTTCAGATCTTGGATTGGAAGCTGTGGCTGGGGGAGGCTGAGGGAGCTGAGCTCCTCATTCCTTGCCCTGCTCGTGCTGAAGGTGCTGGGTGGGCTTTGCCTGGATCCTTCCACCCCTCCCAGCTGGATTTGGGCTCAGGTTTTTGGGGTTTGGTTCCAAAGAACTGATGGGAAGAGAGCTGAGAGCACCATTCCTGCTGGGAGCAGAGGTTTGGGGGAGCCTGGAGTCACCCAGGGATCCAAAGGACAAATGGCTTTGGTAGTGGAAGAAATAATGGTGAAAAGCAGCTGTTTTGGGATGTTTTGGGGATTTTCCTTCATCAGCAACCGCAATGGAACTGCAGCCCTGCCAGGTTTGGGATGGGGGCAAGGTCTCACTGTGGGGCTCAGCAGCTCTGCCCCCATCCCCCTCATCACCCTCATCAGCCCCAGAGCTTGGCCCAGCCAGGCTGGAGCTTTCTGGGTGGGACCAGGAGCAGATCCCTGCAGGAGGAGCAGGAGGAGGCAGAATCTTGGGGTCTCCCTGAGCTCTGCAGTGTGGGGAACACCCTGCTCTGGTTGGTTTTATTCCTTTTCTTTGCTTCTTCCTTCTGGGAAGGGGGGCAGGAGCTGCCCAGCTGTGCCCACCATGGCTGACCCTGGTGTTTTCTGTCCCCTCCTCAGCTGACCCCGGTGTTTTCTGTCCCCTCCTCAGCTGACCCAGGTGTTTTCTGTCCCCTCCTTTGCTGACCCCGCTGTTTTCTGTCCCCAGACAAGGCTGAGAACGGGGAGCCCTACCAGAGGAGGAGAGGAGCAGGGCCCCCCGTGCCCGAGAGCCCCCCAGCATTCCTGGCACCCCAGGACGGAGCCCCCCTGGCCAGGAGCAGCAGCTGGAGGAGGATTTTGCTGATGATCCTGGCTATCACCATCCACAACATCCCAGGTGAGCCCATCCCTGCCCCCAGGCAGCCCATCCCGTGCAGATCTGTCCCCTGGCAGATGGCACTCGCTGAGTGGGCGCCTTTGGCCGGGATCCCGTGCCAGATTTGGTGGGGCTGAGCCACGTGAGGCCTTGGCAGCAGCAGAACCGTGGGGAGGGGGCTGCGGGGAGCCTGGAGCAGCTGCAGCCTGCCTGGTGCCAGCCCAGCGTGGGTGGGAACTGTGACTCCCGAGGGTGGGTGGGGAGAGGTGACAAACCCTGCTCCCTCCAGCCTCTCTGTGAGCGAGGAGAATCTGCTGTTAGGGTTTATTTCTCAGGCACAGGTGGATGAGGAAAGGTGACAAACCCTGCTCCCCTTTAGTCTCTCTGTGTGATCAGTCACTGCAGGGGAATCTGCAGTTGGGGTTTATTTCCTCAGGCACAGGTGGATTGGGAAGGGTGACAAACCCTGCTCCCCTTTAGCCTGTGTGATCAGTCTCTGCAGGGGAACTGCAGGAGAAGCTGCACTTGGGGTTCATTGCCTCAGGCAAAGATGGATGAGGAAAGGTGACAAACCCTGCTGCCTTTACCCTCTCTCTGTGTGAGAGGAGAATATGCAGTTGGGGTTTATTTCTCAGGCACAGGTGGATGGGGAAAGGTGACAAACCCTGCTGCCTTCAGCCTCCCTGTGTGATCAAACTGCAGGAGAAGCTGCACTTGGGGTTTGTTTCCTCAGGCAAACATATATGAGGAAAGGTGACAAACCCTGCTCCCCTTTAGCCTCTCTGTGTGATCAGTCTCTGCAGGAGAATCTGCAGTTGGGGTTTATTTCTCAGGCACAGGTGGATGGGGAAAGGTGACAAACTCTGCTCCTCTTCAGCCTGTGTGATCAGTCTCTGCAGGGGAATCTGCAGGAAAAGCTGCACTTGGGGTTCATTTCCTCAGGAAAAGGTGGATTGGGAAGGGTGACAAACCTGCTGCCTTTACCCTCTCTGTGTGATCAGACTGCAGGAGAAGCTGCACTTGGGGTTTATTTCCTGAAGCAAGGGTGCACTGGGAAAGGTGACAAACCCTGCTGCCTTTACCCTCTCTCAGTGTGATCAGACTCTGCAGGAGAAGCTGCACTTGGGGTTTATTTCTCAGGCACAGGTGGATTGGGAAGGGTGACAAACCCTGCTCCCTTCAGCCTCTCTGTGTGACCAGTCTCTGCTGAAGCAAGGGTGCACTGGGAAAGGTGACAAACCCTGCTGCCTTTACCCTCTCTCTGTGTGATCAGTCTCTACAGGGGAATGTGCAGTTGGGGTTTATTTCTCAGGCAAAGATGGATGGGGAGAGGTGACACACCCTGATCCCTTTCCCCTCTCTCAGTGTGATCAGTCTCTGGAAGAGAAGCTGCAGTTGGGATTTATTTCCGCAGGCAGAGATGGGTTGGGAAGGGTGACAAACCCTGCTCCCTTTAGCCTCTCTCAGTGTGATCAGACTGCAGGAGAAGCTGCACTTGGGGTTTATTTCCTCAGGCAAAGATGGATGAGGAAAGGTGACAAACTCTGCTCCTTTTACTCTCTCTCTGTCAGATCAGACTCTGCAGGAGAAGAGTTGAGGTTTATTTCCTGAGGCAAGGGTGGATTGGGAACAGTGACAAACTGCTCCCTTCAGCCTCTCTGTGTGATCAGTCTCTGGAAGAGAAGCTGCACTTGGGGTTTATTTCTCAGGCACAGGTGGATGGGGAAAGGTGACAACCCTGCTCCTTCTACCCTCTCTGTGTGATGAATCTGCAGGAGAATCTGCTCTTGGGCTTCATTTCCTCAGGATGGGAAAAGTGACAAACCCTGCTCCCCTCAGCCTCCCAGTGTGATCAGACTGCAGGAGAAGCTGCACTTGGGGTTTGTTTCCTCAGGCAAGGCATGGATTTGGATAATGGGTGGGAAGTTGTGGAGCTCTGCAGGTCCTGGAGGGCTGAGTCCTGCCAGGCTGGGCTTTGTGGGGCTGACAGAGGAGGTCAGAGGATGGGGAGATCAGTTTGGGATGTTCAGCTGCTTTGCAATTCTTGGGGATGTTGGAAGTAAAATAAGGCAGCCTTTTCCAGGGCATTCCTCCTGGTTTCTTCTCCCTCCCTCCTCCTCCTCTCCTTCCCTCACTTTTCCTTTCTCCCTTCTCTGCAGGCTGGGTGAGTGCAGGGAAAAGCTTCTGGCCCTGTAAATTTGGGAAGGAACCATGAAGGTTTTGGGGAAAGGCCACGTTTCATTGGTATTGGCAGGGTGGAGCTGCTGGGCTCGGGGCTCCTTTGGTCCCTCACGTGTCATTTTGTGCCTGGTGACTTTGAGAGTGACTTTATCCAGTGCCAGGACACCCATCCTCAATCCACCAGGGATGTCCTGTGTGTAATTCCCTGGCAGTGAGAGAATCCAAGGGAACACACACAGAGCTCCTGGCTGCTCCCTCCTCCAGCCCTTCCAGCCTCCTGCTGCTCCTGGAGTGGGAATTTCCTCCTTCCAGCTGGCTGTGGGCACCTTTGGGTGCTCCTGGTGCCCTCTGGGGCTGGCAGCTGCCTGGGGCTGGCTTATCCTGATAAGGAGCTGGGAGTTAATGATTTGCTGCTCTTCTTGCATCACCAGCACGAGCTGTTCCTGGGCATTAACCTGCTCCAGTTTGTCAGCAGCAGCAAAACATTTCTCCCTCCTCATGCTTCTTTTTTTAATTAATGCCAGGGGGATAATTTGGGTGCTGTGGTTCAGCTCCAGGTGGTGCTGGGAGAGGAAGGTGCCTGGCAGGAAAGGTGAGGAGGGAGCTTTAAATGAGCCACAGACTCCAAGAAAAAGGAGAAATGTCTGCACTGGGTGAAGTGGAATTGGATTTCATCCCTCAAAGGAGGTGTCAGGAGTGAAGAGGCAGGTGGCACCTCCCTGATTCCTGCCAAGGGAGAAAGTTCTGCAGAGGGGTGACCAGACTGTCACCCGTGGCAGGAGCTTGGTGCTGACATGGCCCTGAGACACTGAGCTGCTCCTCCAGGAGCACAAAGCCACCTCTGGATGGTGACAGAGGCTTTCAAACTCTCCCTTGCATCTCCAAGGCCACAACACCAAAGCTTCACCCCAGAGAGGGTGAGAGTGGGGCTCAGGCCCTGCTGGGCTCAGCTCAGTGCTGCCCCTGTCCCTGCTGAGCTCCAGCCCCCAAATCCCCCCCTGCTCTCCCCCAGTGCTGGTGACACTGGGGCCACTCAGCCCTGCCCCACACCCTCCTTTCCCTGGGGTTTGGCCAAAGCCACCTCCAGGTCCCAAAGCAGAGGCTGGAGCTGAGCCCTGGTGCTGCAGAGCCCTCCCCACAGGGCACAGAGAAATAATTCAGGCTGGGGATAAATAATTCAGGCTGTGATGCAATCAGGTGAGCAGCGGTTTGGGGCTCTGAATTCCTTCTGCTCTCCCAGAGGGAGCAGCAGCAGTGCCTGCTGCAGGCAGCGTTTGGAAAAGCAGGAATCTCTGCCTCAGTCAGCAGCCCTGCCAGGGGAAAGGCTGGCACGGGGGTGAATGAAGTGAAATTTAATTGAAATCAGCACGGGGAGCACTCCTGGTGCCGGGGAGGGTGGATGGTGCTGGGGGTGCTGCAGCCCTGGGAACATCATTCCTGCTCCTCAGGGAGTCCTGGAATGGTTTGGGTGGGAAAGGACCTCAGGGCTCATCCAGTGCCACCCCTGCCAAGGGCAGGACACCTCCCACTGTCCCTGGGTGTCCTGGACACCTCCAGGGATGGAGCAGCCACAGCTGCTCTGGGCAATCCCTCCCAGGCCTCCCCAGCCTCACAGGGAACAACCGATTCCTAACATTTCATGGAAATCTTCCCTCTTTCCCTTCCCAACCATTCCCCCTTGTCCTATCACGAGCTGCCTGTGTAAAAAGCCACTCTCCATCTTTTTTACAAGCTCTTCTAAGGAAAATCAGCTTTTATGAGTGCTTCAGAAGTGCTGAAAGGGCTCCGTGGGCTCCTTCCAGAGCCTGCTCCTCTCCAGCTGCCTCCGGAGCAGCTCCTGGCTCTGGTGCTCCCTCTGCCTCCCCGGGAGCTCCCTGCACTCCCACCGAGCTCATTCCCGAGGGATTTCTGTCCTTCCCGTGCTCCACATCCCTGGGAGGGATCCACGCTCACCCTGCTGGGCTGGAGCTGCTCTGAACCCTCCCTCCCCAAACCCTGCCTCAGTTTCCCCTGCCTGCTGCGCCAAGCTCCATCCCTGTTCTCCTCCCGTGCTGGTGGGGGATGAGCTCCCCTTTTATGGCCAGCAGGGAATTGTTTGGGGCACTTGGAGCCTCTCTGGGGCTGGGCTGGCAGTGCCTCTGTCTCTGTTTGCAGCTCCTCGTGCAGGGGAGGGGTGGAACCCCCAGCCCAGGCTGCCACAGCCCCGAGAGTTTGGAGGAAAGGTTGGAGCATTCCTTCCAAAGCTGGGAATGCCAATGGAAAGGATAAATTGATCGTGACAGGAGATGCCAAACTGCAGACTCTTGCTGCTAATTAATATTCATATATGCCAGCTTTAGCAGAACATTAATTATGTATTTAATCAAGCCCTGTTTATTCTGGTTTAGCTTTGTACCTTGGGTGGCTGTTAGGCTGAAGACTTCAGATTAATTAAAATGTTACTGCTGTATCACAAATAACAATTAGAGAGGTGTGAGCTCAGCAGCCTTCCCTTTGTGCTGGGGAGGGGAGGGCAGGCCAGGGGACCCGGGGCCACCAGGGCTGGACCTGGGGGGCTCCTGGGGGCTCCTGGGGGCTCCGGGGGGCTCTGCCCTGCTCCCAGCCCTGCTGCCTGCCTTCAGGCTGCTCCAGGAGAGGCCCCAGACCTCCTGCCCATCCGGGTGCCACCTCCACGTGTGACCCCAGGGGATGGGGGGACAGAGGGGAGGCTGCCCCAGGGCTGGAAATGTCCCCCTGATTTCAGCCTGAGCTCTGTGGGAGCATCCCTGGGATCCAGCTGGACCTGGATGCTGGGGGTTTTTTTAATGGTTTCTCCCAGTTTTAGGCAGTTCAGTGTCCCT